TGTTGAATTCCTGCGGTAGTGCCTTGACTACTGCGATGAATCGTGCACGCCGTGCTCGTGGAAGTCGGCTTCTGCGTAGCAGAACCAGGCTTCCATTTTGGTGGAGTTATGTTCTCTGAGCTGGATGGTTTGGTCGTTGACTGACATCGTTCTTCTGAACGACATCATCAGCACAAACTTCGGGTAGATGTGAAGTTTTCGAATTTCTCCATATGTGTTCCACAGCTGGTTCTGTGCAGCTCAGAGAACAAAAGTCCACCACCTGAGTTACAAATCTTCTCCATCTGGCTTCGATATTGTCGGGCCAGAAGGGCATGAGTTGGAACGAGGATGGGGACATGGTCTTAATCTTAAATACCTTAGGAGTCTGTTCGGTCATAGGGGAATATTAAGTGTGAGAATAAAAGGGACAAATATATAGATATCCTGAGACACGGGGAAAAAATATCACAACGTATAAAAATTAAAAAATAAGGCAATAATATATAAAAAGTTCCCAAAAAGGAACAGACTCACAGTTGCAATTAGGTGTACCAGATCACATTGGTCTCATCAATGAAGATGGCACAGGTATTCAGTGTTTGACAACGCTTTTACCACCAACAACTTCTAATATAAGTCGTACCCACCAACAGAAATCAAAAGACAGAGTCGAGGAGATCGGAAGAGGGTATTTGGCGATTACCGATATATCGAAATTCTCAGATCTAATCTGGCTAACGATTGCGGTAGATGTTGAGCACAGCGTTACCTCACGTGATCTGGTGCGGATGCATGACCGAGCGCCTTCAGCTAGATGAGTCCACTAAAACTAATCTGGTCAGCATCCAATGTCGAAAACTTACAGAGCTATTTATTTTGGGGATTTATTTACCGCTACAACACCTTACTGCTCTCACACCTCTGTACAGTCAGCAGTACGACTTCGCCTTCAGACCTTAGGTTTGTTGCTTTCATTCTTACCGCTCTTCAACCGACCTGTCTGACACGGTAGGACCTTGAGGAGCGGTTGTTCCATCCAGTATAGCCCGGTTGCTTCATCACGATAGGCAAGCCCGACCGCCACGTCAAGGTAGCAACAACGGTCGGGGTACCACAAGACAAAGTTTAGCAAGATTTTAAAACTTAACGGAAATACTTCAAGTTAAAGTGAATCAAGAATGCTTTGGATGTAACAAGTACACAAAAGTAGGGATAATCACAACAAGTAAAAAATCACTGCCATTAACAGGGGGAGTAGTACCACCTGGTACTGACATTGTTAATAATGCACCTTTAATGGGAACCGAAGATCTGGATAAAACAGTCACCGTTCCAAATAGTCCCAGTGTTATGAGGGGTGAAAAATGGACTACGGTACTTAGGAAACGAAACGAAAAGAAAAAAGCTGTAAGCAGTACACAGGTAGTTAGTAACTCACTGGTGGACCCAAATTGTGAGCCACAAATTGCACTACCAAAATCTGAAGGTAAGAGTGAAACCCATCCTGGCGTGACTGAGAAGAAAAATCTAATAACATCGAATATTATTGTGAGCAAATTGCGGGAGTCAAACGACCCTGATCCGAAAATTAGACACGCGCATGACTTAGAAAAGCTAGGAGAATACATTCGTAGTATTTTACCAGATAACTCCAAAGGAGTTCAGGTCAAAAAATTGGTAAGAATAGGCAAGAGTACCGAGGACAATGTTGAACCTCGTCCATGCAGACTCCTTAAGGTAATCCTAGGATCGGAGAAGCAACGGGATCTCTTGTTAAGTAGCGCTCGTTGTCACGACAATTCTGACATCCGAGTTAGACCTGACGTATCTCTCGAAGATCGAATAAATAGGAAGAAAGCACTAGCTGAACTTGAAACCCGTCGGCAAAACGGCGAGGAAAATCTCCGACTAGTGGGTTTTCGGATAGTCAGGTCTTGGAAGCGAATGCTACCAAGGCCTGTGTGGATAGGCTGTTCTACTTAGGAGTTTTATATGCCAACGCTCGTAGTTTACGAAATAAGTTCTATGAACTAGAAGCACTAGTAGACAGGTTAAAGCCACTCATAGTAGCAGTGACAGAAACTTGGTTAGTCCATGACTTAGACATTACTCCAGAATTATCTGGATACCATTACCTCAGGAGTGATAGACATAGATGTAGAAAAGGAGGCGGCGTCCTGTTATATATAGCCAATGGCATAAATATCCGCTCCTCTACTAGCGAATCCCATGATAGCGGCACTTGTGAAGTCATTAGCTGTAAGTTGGCTATAAGATGTAGTACATTTATGCTAGGTGTCATCTATCGGAGCCCAATCTGCTTAGCTGATAACTTTGTTTTAAAGCACATTCATCTTTGGAGTGATAATACCAGGTGCTTGATAATAGGAGACTTTAACGCACCTGATATTAGTTGGACTGATATGACCACAGAAGGATCTATAAACTCCTTTGATAGTAGGTTACTGATAACAATAATGGAGCATGCACTAGTGCAGCATGTATCCCAACCCACACGTTTTGGTGTTAACCAGGGTTCTTCTCTGCTGGATTTGGTAATCACTCATGAGACTGAGGATATTGTCGACTTAAATATTCTTCCACCGTTAGTAAACAGCGATCACGCTGTTTTGTCATTCGCGTTTAGAACTAGGGACATGTTATACGATCAGGTTACACCGCGCCCAAATGTATGGAAAGCTAACATATCAGCCATTCAGGAATGCGCTGCTAAGACAGATTGGTTAGTAGATACTAGCATACCAGTTGAAGAAGCATGGTCTGTATTTAAAGGTAAATTTAGACTAGTTACGTCCCCGTTCATAGCATACCTGGTACCGCGAAGACCGAATAATAGTCCACCATGGATAACTAAAACGGTCAGGAAACTCCTTAGTAAAAGGAAGAATCACTGGAATATGTTCATCTCTACTGGCTTAGAACAATACAGATCCAGTTATTGTAAGATTAGGAATGCCTGTAAAGCGTTAATAAGCAAGACTAGACTATCATACGAAAAACAATTGGTTAGGGATTCTAGATATAGTCCGAAACGGTTATTCTCGTATATAAAAAGGCGAACTAAGAGAAGCGATGGAATTCCATCACTTTTGATACGAGACAATCCGTTAATCTTAGCAGAGAATGATGTCGAAAAAGCTGAAGCTTTATCGGAATATTTTAGTAAAGTGTTTTCTATCGGTAATGAGGAACGACCAATGATTCATCGTGACCGTGACGGCTCGCTGATGGATCCTGTAGTCATTGAGAAAGGTACTGTTTTAAGGCTACTTCAGCATCTCAAACCTGATAAGTCCAGTGGTCCCGATGATATTCATCCTAGGATTATGAAAGCCATATCAGATGAAATTGCTGAACCATTAGCGATACTATTCGACATGTCTCTGAGACAGTCCAGACTTCCTAGAGACTGGAAAGACGCTATAATAAGTCCGGTGTATAAGGCTGGGAGTAGGGATTTAGTTAGTAACTATAGACCCGTTAGCTTAACTAGTGCAGTTGTAAAACTGATGGAGAAAACCATTCGGATAGCTGTTATAAATTATGTTGAAGGGCAAAATCTTTTCTCCAGGACACAACATGGTTTTCGGAAAGGCCTATCTTGCTTGACAAATCTTCTCATTGCACGAGAAGAGTGGGCTGCGGCAAAGGATCGGAATGCTCCTGTGGATGTAATTTTCATAGATCTAAGTAAAGCCTTTGATAAGGTTTCACACTCTGGTCTTAAATTCAAACTGAAACGTTTTGGAATCCATAACACAGTCGTCGATTGGATAAGTAACTTTCTCCATGACAGGAGACAAAGGGTAAGGGTTAATGGGGCTCTCTCCTCGTGGGTACCTGTAAAAAGTGGGGTTCCCCAAGGCACAATCCTAGGTCCTCTTCTCTTTTTACTTTATGTAAATGAATTGCCAACTGTAGCAAAATCATCCGTTCTACTCTTCGCTGATGACATAAAGATTTGGAGACCCATACATAGTATGTCGGATAGAATAGTATTACAGGACGATCTTAGCTCATTGGTGGCATGGTTAGACAGGTGGTCACTAGAAGTAAATCCTAATAAGAGTGTAGTGATGCAGTTAAATAACTCAGATGAATCGTATGACTATACACTACGTGGATTCGTGCTACCCAAAGCAAGAAACTATAAAGACTTAGGAGTTATATTAAGCAATGATCTCAAAACGACTAGTCACTGTAAGGCTGCTGCTGCAAAAGGCTATAGGGTATTATGGTCAATTCGTAGGTCTTTCCAGTATTTAGATGATGAAATGTTTGGATTACTATACCCGATTTATGTGCGACCACATTTAGAATACGGGATTCAAGCAGCGAGTCCTTGTTTCAAATATGAAGCAGATATGCTAGAAGGAGTCCAACGACGAGCTACTAAGATGGTACAAGGTCTAGCTGGCCTATCTTATGAAGACAGACTGAGACACCCCAACTTATTTCCGTTATCTTACCGTAGAGTATGGGGTGATCTAATATTGTCTTATCGTATACTGAATGATGACCTTGGTATTAACGTAATATCTTTTACTTTTATCTAGGACTGATCATTTGAGAGGACATTCGAAGAAAGTTCAAAAACCGAGATCAAACAGTTTACGTCTGGAGTTCCGTTTCTCGCACCGAGTAGTGAATTACTGGAATTCCCTACCGGAACACGTAATATCAGCACCGTCTGTTAATATATTCAAAACGAGATTGGACCTCCACAGTATTACAAACTGCAAGGATTAATATAGGTCGACAGACCTCCTATCCTTATTACTGAAGACTGAAGACTGAAGATCTTCCAGATTCAAGAGCAGTCCGTTTGTAAGCAAATTTTCGAATGCATGTACTTAACGCTTCAATCTGATTATTAAAATACATAAGTCAGATAATTTCGTACTGCATGTTGCCTGTATTTGTTTAAGTGCTCTTTTGATGAAAATTTGGTTTAAGAAGAGGCAGTTTTAGTTAGCTGCTTCGTTTCATTATCGAGAATGGCAACTCTGGGTACTGGTATGCGGTGTCTTAAAAGCTGTGTATTCGTTTTGAATATCATCTGTCTGGTATAAAAAGCCGATTTTAATTGTTCCTACTCCTAGTTGTGTTCCCTAGTACTGATTGGGGCTGGTGCCTATGTAGAAGTTAAGTTCAGCCAATATGGAGACAACTTGCACAAGGTCTGGCAGGCAGCACCCATTGCTATAATTGTTGTTGGAGTAATAATTCTTATAGTGAGCTTCTTGGGTTGTTGTGGAGCTATAAAAGAGAACGTCTGTATGCTGTATATGGTAGGTTACCCTAGTCAAGTTTATGCTTGTAGTATGCATTCTTCCTCATTATACTTTTGATTGCTGAATTGGCCGCTGCCATAGTTGCAGTTGTTTACAAAGATAGAATCGATTCAGAAATCGACGCATTGATGACTGGTGCTCTGGATAAACCGACTCCAGAAATAACTGAGTTCATGGATTTGATTCAATCATCAGTAAGTCATAACAGTACCTGTTAACTGTTCTAGTTCCATTGCTGTGGAGCCAAGGGTCCTCAAGATTATAAGGCAAACATTCCAGCTTCATGCAGAGGAGAGAACACAGTCTATCATGAGGTAAGTCGTAGTTGTTTAAAATGCATGTTGAGTGAACACTGAGTAAGAAGTAGTCATCGTCGGTCTTCCCTCAAAGAAAAATGTCGCTCCATATCTTTCTTTCTACGATTTAATTCTTTATTCCTGTACTATATCCTTATGTGCAATCATTCTTATATATATTGCCACCTCTGAATTAACTACTTTTATGAATCCGGTGTTCATGTGTTAATGAGGTATGGCAACTTGGACCAATGCATATTTGTGACTGATCCTACGTTTCAGCTGACTTACTGATCGTCGTTAAAATTAGCAATAAGTTGACATGTACGTAACCATATTCTATCGGTAGATTTTCCTCTCCGTAAGTCTGATAAGTGCATGTTAGGACATTTGTTTTGTATCAATAGTTTTGAACAAGTTCCTGGATATAAAACACGTAACTTGCAGAACATTATTATTTCATAAACCATATACCATTCATAACGTTCCTTGATCAATTTGTTAATTTTTCCTAGTAAGTTCATATTGATCTCTAAAGCTATGTAATAAGACATGCGAAATCAAGCCTCGAAAACCACGCAGAACATAAGAAGTACGTGTTAAAGTTATTAGAAGTAAACAGTTTTAGCTTCTCAATCTTTGAAAAATTACAAGCTAGACTTGGCGGAAGCTGGATGTGTTTCTCGGGGATTGTATTGTTGTCCTGTGTATGCTTGATTTCAGCTTCAAATATTCATATAATTCGGCGAGGCTCAGCTATCCCTACGTTTGTAGACGGGTTTATATCTACACTTAGTTGGATAGTGCTATAGATCTTACACTTTTACCGAGGTGATATTAATTAACTGTTTATATATATCTTTGTATATTTTAACGGTTATCATTTTTCCATTTTTAGGGCTGTGTACCTGTCTTTGGAGCATTCTTGAAACGCAACCTAGTGATTGTTGCTTGTGTTGCATTTGGTGTGTGCTTTTTCCAGTTGTTAAGCATTGTCATAGCTTGTTGTTTGGGTCGCCAAATAAAGGAGTACGAAAATGTGTAATCCCTGCAAAGAAAACAATATTGTTTATCGGTCCCGTTCTGTTTTCCTTCTGGCTTTTATGAAATTATGCTTTTTTATTGCCTAGATAATTGTGCCTTGGTTAATAATCATGTATTCGACTTCGTTTACGGTATATATTAATTATACATAAATATGATACTGTCATTCTCATTGTTTCACTTTTTATCATTCATATACATAATGAGTTGCATTGATTCCCTGGTATATACCTACAAACTGATGACAAATCATTTTCACTTTTATGGTGTCTTATAACCTTTCACGTTTATATAATTTTAAATCTTTGTTACACCTTTTATTTTACAAACCGCTTATTTATCCGCTACAGCATTAGACGTTTCTTGTATAAATCAATTCCGTTATCTCAGTCTTCAAATGCAATTGGGGGGTGTTCTAATAATATTCATAGCAGTAACTGTTCGAAGTTTATTCTATTCGTTCTCAATTCCTTTGTTTAAAACTGTCAGAACTCCAAATAGATTAAAGCGTCATAGTGTTTGTTTGTCAGTAATAATACATATTTATTACTGACGATGTGTTTCAAATACCAAATAATGAAGTATTTAAAATAAAGAGGCTAGTAAATCGTTATTCCGTCTGCGGTACTAACACCGAAAGACTTTAACTACTAGTCAATTGTGAGTCTGTCTCTGAGTATTTTAACTAAAATCTTGGACGTTATCCCATCTGACTGGTCACAATCACTTATCTTCCCAATATATAAGAGACGGTCAAAATCATCCTGTGACAACCATAGAGCGATTAGCTTAACGAATATAGCATCTGAAATACTAGCCTCGACTTTACCAAAGACCTAATGATGGGAATAACGCTCTCCTCGACTGAATTCTCGAGCATTGATCTCCTACCAGGAGGTCCACTTATCGGCTTAGAATACGCAGATGATATAGTCCTGTTTGGTGAAGATGCTGATAAAATGCAGTCTTTTGGTAGCACTAAGCAACAACGCCAGAATGTTTGGAATGCGCTTCTCTCCCTCTAAATGCAAGTTGTTGCTTCAGAACTGGTCTGCGTCAACACCTGAACTAAGGATAGGGAGTGAAGTAGTCGAACGCGTCGACAACTTCACTTATCTTGGAAGTTTGATCAGTCCAAACGGATTGGTGTCTGACGAAATCTCAGCACGGATTCGAAAAGCTCGTTTGGCTTTTGCCAACTTACGTCACCTATGGCGGAGGCGAAATATCCGTCTATCAATAAAAGGACGAGTATACTGCACGGCATTCCGTTCTGTTTTAATTTACGGCAGCGAAACATGGCCATTAAGAGTAGAAGACACTCGTAAGCTACTAGTATTTGACCACAGATGCCTTAGAAATATTGCTGGTGTCTGCTGGGATCACCGGGTAAGTAATAGTGAGGTTAGACGCAGGGTATTAGGGAATGATGGTAAATCAGTTGATGGGGTTGTGAATCTTCATCGACTGAAATGGTTGGGCCACGTGCTACGTATGCCCGAACACCGATTACCACGACGTGCAATGCTGAGTAGTGTAGGGGATGGTTGGAAGAAGGTTAGGGGCGGCCAAACCAAAACGTGGCATCAGTGCTTGAAGTCACCAACTTCTAGTCTGAGCCATGTTGGTAGATGCAGACTACTTGGTTGGGGCTCGCGTGACAATCTTAACCAATAGCTGGAGACTCGTGGTGACATGGCTCAGAATCGGTCACAATGTCGTCGGTGTATACACTCTATCTTCCCTTAAGCTATGAGACTAAAATTGCTTCATGACTTTCTTTCTACGTACTCATTGTTTCTATATCCTTATATGCAATCATTCTTATGTATATTACCACCATTGAATTAACCACTTCTATGAATCAGGTGTTCATCTTGTGCTAACGAGGTATGGCAACTTGGACCGATGTATGTATGTGCCTGTTCCTACGTTGTAGCTTACTGACACAAAAATTGGTACAAGAACGCACCAAATAGATATCCGCTTTATTGGTTTATGTGAGGACTGAGATACTGCCCGGTTCCCGAAACCGAACCGTTTTCGTTTGGCCGCGTCTAACTTTATTTCAACCATCCCCATCACTAGTCAGCATTGCGCGTCGTGGTAATCGGTGTTCAGATATACGCAACATGTGTCTCATTCTCTTCAGTCGATGAAAATTTACAACTGATTTACCATCATTCCCTATTACGCTGCTTCTAACCTCACTATTACTTACCCGGTGGTCGCAGCAGATGCGAGCAATATTTCTAAGGCATCTGTAGTCAAATACTTCTACTCTTAATGACCACGTTTTGCTAACATTTGATGAAAATTGTTGATTATGATAAGAAACTTCATGGGATCTTCAATTGACAAACGGTCCATTGAAATATAGATTCTTCAGCTTTCGTATTAGCTGATCAAGTTAAATTTTCGAAGTTATTTATTACTTTATACAACTTTCCCTGTTTATATCCTTGACTAAAGAAAGAACAAATATTGTATCAGAATAATATGAATTCATTTATTTCATGGATTCACCTTAACTACTTACAACCATAATGTTATTCATTAAAACGAAACAAATGTACATACTTTGTGTCAGAAACATCTAGATTAAACTCAGTTAAGATGTGGATATAGAATAATTAGAGACCATAATACGAAAGAATTGTCATTATTGAAACTTTTGCTTATTTATTGGTTCAATATATGAATATTTGAGAGGAGCTTAGAAACAGTAGTCAAGTTAAGCTCAGAAGTAAGGATTAAGATAAAAATTTTAACTATATTTTATGGAGATGAAGTCTTATGTAATCATTTCGCAAAAAATGAAAATAAAATCACCATAGTAAAACAAGATTGATAACTGTTTCTTTTTGGACATATAAATTAGGTGTAGAAACCGTTTGATTGCAAGAGTTTCGGTAAAGTGTAACAGTTTTGAATTCTTTTGAAAGATTTATGAACTTCAACATCATGCTCACTGTTGAAAAACTTCTATCCATTTAGTCTCAACTTTTGTGGAATATGTTTACAGATGCGAACACAAAACTTCCCTATTTATGTGCTTTGGCACGTATATGTAAACTGATGAACAGAATTGGAAGTAACATAAGGTGGGCATTTGTCAACATTCGACTATCTCATTCAGTTTGATACAGAGATACCAACTTGGTCTTTGGATATATTCTTTTTAATATTGTCTTTAGTTTAAAATCAATCCTTTCAGCTCATTCATCGCCTAGGCGTTTTTGATATAAAGTATATACACTTGTTTCATTCTAATGATCAACACTATGGTTGTAATCAGTTATGGAGAATCCGGTTCATGTTATTCTGCAACATTATCACTTCTTTATTTATTTAAAGTTACAGATAGGAAAAATTGCATCTAATATTATATATCTTTCCAAAGAACATAATTGATCCATACAAGTTTCTAAGTCTTCATGAAATTTCATTAATGAGATATTATCTTCAGCATTATGAAAAACAACGTAAATTAATTTGGTTGGTGTTTCAGTAAGAAAGCCCAATCTCTATCAAGATTGTGAGAAGATAGGTAGTGGATTGATATGTTTACTGTATACGAGGTGGATAGGAATCTATGTGGTAGATAAGGATTATTTCTTATGTTAACTATGAGGAGTTTAATAAACCATAAATTGATTTCCATTTTGTTCATGAATTAATCAACTATAGGAGTTGCTTCCTAGAATAACTGTTACAATTACTTTATTGTCTATGCTTAAAGGAAAAGATTGTACTATCATAAAAGTTACCAACTACAAAGATTCAGGAAATGAAACCGACCTCAGTAATCATACCTTAATTACACAGTTGGACTACATAGTTCAATATGATTTAATGATAAGTCAGTTACTGGAGAAAATCAATCATATCAAAAGATAAAAAGTTTGTTATCTAAATTCACTTGGTGTTGTTTTACTTGTATAGATTACACTGTTAGCTACTATCCATCTTTGCTTATAAAGCTTGCGACTTAAGGCTATATCGAGACAATCCGTACAGGATGTACATATGCCAACATGAAACTAATCAATTACAGTCCAAAATAACAGGAAGATACAATTAAAACAATAGCAAATGAATTTAAACTTCACCCCATTGCACAAACAAGTGGCTATCAGGACTCAGTAGCTAAGTGGATAACGCAATGACGTTTAAAATGAACGGTACTGGGTTCGAGTCTTGAAATCAACTCTGAGATGCAGGTACATCCAGCTGACGAGTCCCAAATAGGGCGAAATGCGTGTACTGGATTCCACTGTTAGCCATTATCCATCTTTATTTTCTAGTTCTTTCTAAAATTAACATGTGAGCAGTACTAATAAATTGAATTTCCCATGAAAAAGCCTTTTTTTTTATATCGAACTTATTAACGGATAGATATCATTATTTAAGGTGATTTCCGACAAAACTCTTTCTATCTATCTTCCTATTGATTAACATAAAGAATTCATTTAATCTTAATTTCTTTATCAATCCAAAATTGATATTATCATATTGACCAAGTTCACATAATAATCCATGTCAATTTCTTTTTGTTACTGCCCAATGAAGAAAGTGGAAAGAAATAGATTGAAAACCTTATCCATAACATAGCAACGTCACATGATTGTATTGACTAGAATCAAAAATACATATATATCAACTAATGCGTAGGAAGGAGTGTGAGCTAAATTCTTTATTTCCATTTTTATTCACATAACAGTCTGTATTACTTAGTGAACATAATAAGTGATAGATTTAACATGTTTCTACATAAGAAAGGAAATACAGATTTCATTACTTTCTATTTCTGGTAATGAATAAATACTCATCTTGGTAACGTAATGTTTCTTTTTTCTCATCAATATATTAATTATTTATTTAAGGAAGTTGTAAAGCTTGTTGAATTTTAATGTGTCACATCATGAACTGACTTTGATTAAATAACTATTGGAAACTCTTTAGTATTGTGTATCAAACAGAGGACTTTTAAATTTTGTG